CCCTACTCTGAGATATGGTGAAATGATGAGTTAATACAGATGTGTCAATATTAAAATATAAAATAAATTATGATGATTTTTTAACTTCGAACTTAATTTACTTTTTTATCTGACCAATTGAATTGTTAAAATGTGTTGTGAAATATATGATATGGGAAATGGAGTACGAGTTCTACAACAGAGTGAGGATCACATTTGATTCCATGAAGGAGAATTTTGTTCATGGAATTAAGTGCAAATAAATAGGGAAATATACTTTATTGGGTGTAGAATTGGAGAATCTTTACAGTAACAAACTAAATCCTCAATTTGGTATTATTGTTTAAAAATTAAAGCGAGAGTTCGCCTTCAAGTGAAGAGGACTGGGAGCTCTGGAGTGGGAGCCAATATCCTCCTAGCCTAGCCATAGATTTAGGGACTAAACCTGGGATTAGTCAACCATTTTCTATAACACTGTATCAGGGTAGAGAATTAAAACTGCTCCTATTTGACACAATACATATTAAATCATTTATCTCATCTCATTTCACCAAAACTTTATTGTAGTGGGAAAGATGCTTTTCACATAAACATAATTTAATAGTTTAGTAGTTACTGTTTAAACTTTGCATTTCAGTTTTGCTAATAGTTAAATAATTTAGTTTTGATCATACCTCAGCATTCAAAATTAGTGACAGTAATTTTGTTTTACTTTCTGTGAATTTCCTAGTAAATTTATCATTTCAAATTTAAACATTCCCCATGGGATCGATATTTAGGGCTTAAATAGAAAGTCTATTATTACTTGATAACTATACGTATACTTGCGTAGAATCCCAATATTAATTGCTTAAATTTCTTAATCATAAACTTTATAATATTTACACAACTACATTTTCAGGATCAACAACATCGATAACTAAATGCCTCGATAAGTTCTTAACTTGTGGAGAGCACTCTAACTCCTAACTCGCCCAAACTACCAATAAAAAAATGCATTTTCCGGTCCTTTATTTTTTTTCTCGAGGCCGAATAGATGAAATTGATAGCTCACCCAAAATTGGGTGATACCATCCCGGTTGACCCTAAAGGCAAACATGTATCTGAAAAGGTTAGTTGACCAAGGGATTTTTACATAATGACAAAAAAAGATGTAGGTCATAATAATCACTATTGAATTGGCAAGACTTTAGCACAAATGACAAGGTAACACTTGAAAATGACCCACAACTCCGTGTAAAGGGGTAAGTGAAGCCCATAGCAGAACTGGTCCCGATAGAGCACCAAGTTATTTCTAAAGCAATTTGTCACCCAATCCTGACTCTTCACTGCATGAAGTCTTGCGGTGGAATCAGAAACATAATCAACTTCGATCCTGACGACATCCTTGGCGCTTAAAGAAGATGATCCGCTTGCGGGAATCATTTCAAAGGGTTCTGGAGAAAATTTCAGAGTCATTACAGAGGCAGTAAAAGAAAAGATCGAAGAGAACTTTAGGAGATGGTAGCAGTGCAACATGACTTCCACATTCAAATCTATTTCTAGGATTTAAGGGAGGAAGTCAAAGCTCCCTCACACCTCAACACATCTAAAAGTGTGCAACCATCACAACAAACAATACCAAGTATGATTTGACACAAAATGAAATTTTTATTTCCAAAAATATAGAAGTTACAATGGATTAGTCAGAAATAAAATACTTCATAAAAGAGTCTTCCGCTTTTTCAACCGAGACATATCTTTGCTAAAGTTGTCTTTTAAATACAAGTTCTCCCATAATCTAAATCAGTCCATCCGATCAAACTCATTCTAAATCTGATTCACAAAGTCCGACTCTCAAGCGGCCAGTAGTTTGGCTCGAAGAGAAATCGTCTCCCCATTCAGCTGAGCAATTTCCCCTTCCATTTTTTTTACACCATAACCACCATCTCTCGTATAGTTCCATCACTAGAAACGTCGATCGTTCAAGTGAAGTAGTCGTCCACTTCATCCATGCTATGTATGAGGGACTCTAAAGACACCAATCGTACTTCGCTTGTCTTTGGAAAGGCATCCAAAAGATCTGTTGCGCGTCTACCATCGTTATCGATTGATTGGTGACTAACAAAAATTGGCTTGGGATTTTTCACCACAAAATACTACTAGCGCAACTTCAGAGCACCCTCCTTACCCATAATCGGAGTAATACTTTCCACTCACAACTCCGACATTAATTCCACCACTGACGCTATCAGAGTCACCAATCGTATTGAAGCACTCTCAGCCTCGGGATCTGTAATACTGAACGGTGGAGCCCGTTCCTCAATCGTCGAGATAACATGTCCATCATACCTCAGGATCTTCTCCTGCTGATGATCACCATAATACCCTGACGATGCCACTGGGTTGCGCGGATCAAGATCAATGTCCTTTCTCTTCCTTTTCACAACTAATCTCTTCCATAGCCTCTCACTCGCAAAACATGGTGCGGCGCTCATCTCTTTGAGAACCATACAAAGAACATCCTTATCAAAGCGACTCTAAGCATTTACACCATCCATGGTGTCGTTTGAAGTTCATGGAAAAGAGAGCAAATAAGAAAGCCCCATTGATCCTATTTATAGGAAACACAAGCAAGTAAATTAAGAAAGTAATTAATAAATTATGAAAAGATTAAGATTATAAATGAATTTATTTTTTTTGTGACAAATATTCCCTTGTTCTTATCACAACATAGCCTTCAAGGAGAGAATCAGAGAACTACTACGTGTGTCGGAAAATTGTCAACACAAATCCTAAGGCGATCAAGTGGCCTAGAAGGAAAATTGTGAAATTCAATGATCCGACAAAAGCTTTCAAATGCTCAATAAGCTGATCGACTATTGATTACAAGGTAACCCAAGGAAGACCGATCGACTGAATTTTTGCCCAGCTATAAAAGGATAACCTGGATCAAAGACATCGACATCACTCGACTTAGAGTAGACCGACTACCAGTTGAAAGACGCTTAAATTCCAAGAGCAAAAACTTACCGATACGCATATGATCCAAATCAATTAAGTCAACCAGTTAAAAGGCATACCGATTCGAAGAATTAGGCTCACGGAAAATTGCCAATATCATTTATTGATGTGAAAATGTTTTATTGTCAATTATGAATAGAAAAGAGTGTTAGTATCAATTATAGATTCGGAAACACGTCGCTATCGATTATAATTACGAAAAGGCATTACAAATGGTAAAAAATGGTCTATAATGCCCTTAAAAAAATAAAGGCAAATAATGACTTGTAACATCTCATTAAATGACAGTAAAAATCTAAAATTTTCAAGGGTCTCTTGTGACTATAAATAAGGATCATTTTATGAATGAAATGATAGAATTTTTTGGATTAAACTGTTCATCTTTCACGCTACTATGGATCATTTTATGAACTCCTATGGCTCATTTTATGAATGAAATGATAGAATTTTTTGGATTGAACTATTCAACTTTTAGGCTACTATTCTTTCTGTTTTTCTTTTCTTATCTTCTTTCTGCACTCCTCTCCTGCAGTCATGTTCTAGCAGATAAATCGAAATTTTCATATATAGTTTTATGACATTGAAGTGTCATAAGCATAAATATCAAGTTGTAGGTGTTAGATATCTAAATACATAAGAATTTGGGGGCATGCAAGAAGAATTCCCAATATTTTTTCGGCAAGAAACTGCTCGAGAAATTGCCCTCTGGTGGAAAAAAGACCCTTCAAAACTTTAATCGGCTAAAACTACGCCCGGCCAGGTCTTCCCGCCGCCCCTTCGCGGCCATGGCAAACCAGTCCGATCACCGCCGCCTATCGACTCAACTGCGACTTTCCGTCCCCCTTCGCCCTCACCTTTCCTTCTCCCGTTCTCAACCTTCCCTTAACTCTGCTTCCGCTTCTGCCCCGCTCTCCCCGTTCCCCTTCTCTCCCTCCTATTCCACCTCCACACCGTCAAAGCTACGTCGTCTCCCTTCCGCCTCTTCCTCTTCTTTCTCCTCTGTCTTACTTCTGCTCTTTTCTCTCCGATCCCTCTACTCCCTCCTCCCCTTCCTCCGCTCCAGCCCACCTGCCTTCTCCCTCTTCCCTTTCTCCTTCCTCGTCTCCCTCCTCTCCTTCCTCGTCTCCCTCCCATTCTCCGTTCCTCAAACCCTAACCCTAAAACCTTCACTCTTCCGCCCCCTCCTTACCAAATCTTTCCTTCTCACCCTCGTCTTCCTCCTCCGTTTCCATTCTCTACGCTACTGCAGCGCGGCTGCCTCCATCCTTGCTGACTTATCCGGCGCTCTTGCCGCCCGATCCCTCTTTGGAAGCTCCCGCCGCAGCCGCCTTCTACGCCGGATCATTGGGTTCATAGCCCTGATGATCGCGCTTATTCTACTCTCGTATAGCTGGGATCGTGTAGGATGTTTTCCGATTTTTTCTTTTTATCCTCCTCCGCCTGAGGGCTGCAACCGTGTATCGGCCATGGTACTCACCTTCCTCTCCGGCTTTTTAGGATTCCATGAGCGTGCAGCTGGAAATTCAGGAGCTTTGAGGCAGCTCGGTAGGAAGAGGACTCGGTTAGCTACCCTCGCCTTTACTTCAGTATTCCTGTTTTTTCCGGCATGTATTAGTATTTTTGTTGATGGAGGTGGGGAGAATGGGGATAGTTCTGTTTCTGTGGCGTCTATGGTTTGGCCTTTGATTAATACTGTTATATTCGGTGTTGTGTTGAATGAGAATTTTAGTGTTGATGAGAAGTTTGGATTCGGTGGAAAGAATTTCCAGCGAGAGTTTTTGGTGACTTTTTTCTGCACCCTTCTTTTGGAGCTGGTTTACTACCCCAAGGTGTCATTGCCTGGTTTTCTGATATGTGGATTCTTACTGTGGATTTCGGTTCGGGAATTGAGTTCTTCATCTTTTCAATATGTGGAGCTTGGAAACCTGGAGTCCTCTTCAAATATTTATGCGTTGATTATGAATCCGCTTAGACACATTATGAGTCAGAGGAAAACTAGAAAGATTGCTCTTTTCTTGTTGATTAATACGGGCTACATGGTTGTGGAGTTTGTTGCTGGTTTCGTTAGCAACAGCCTTGGTTTGATATCTGACGCTTGCCACATGCTTTTTGATTGCGCTGCTCTGGCCATTGGGCTGTATGCTTCCTACATCTCTGGGCTACCAGCAAACAATCAGTTCAATTATGGCCGGGGCAGATTTGAGGTGTTATCAGGCTATGCTAATGCCGTGTTTTTAGTCCTGGTTGGTGCACTTATTGTCTTGGAGTCAATAGAGCGAATTTTGGATCCTCAAGTGATTTCCACAAGCAGTTTGTTGGCTGTTTCCATCGGAGGACTGGTGGTGAATATCATTGGACTTGTGTTCTTCCACGAGGAGCATCATCATGGGCATGGCGGGGCTAGTTCGTGCTCTCATTCTCATTCATGCTTCGACTTGCATTCTCATTCGAACTCCACTGCCCAATCTTATTCCATTTGGCATCCTCATTCCCACGGGGATTCTCATTTTGGTCATGAAAATTGTTCCAGCAAAAATGAGCATCATCACTCTAGTACAGACTCCAATGTTCACTTTCAGCCTATTTCACATGAGCATTCTCATGTTGGTAACAGCGAACATTCTAACTCTCATACCCATCATTCTCATGTTGGTAACAGCGAACATTCTAACTCTCATTCCCATCATCACCATCACAACCACCATCACAACCAAAGCGATAATTGTGGTCATCATATGCACGAAGATGAGCATAATCACAATTTGAGCCACCGTGATCAAGGTCGTCATTGTAATCTTCAGGAACATGATCACCAATATCAGATGCATCACGTTGGAGATCAAAATCATCAGGGTTCCTGTAAACACAACCGTGAACATAAAAGCCTATTAATTGGAATCAAAGAAGAGGGTTTGAAAATGCACTATCACATTGACCACAATATGGAAGGTATCTTTTTGCATGTTCTTGCTGACACAATGGGAAGCGTTGGGGTTGTCATTTCAACGCTTCTTATTAAATACAAAGGTTGGCTGATTGCAGATCCAGCTTGCTCCATATTTATTTCAGTAATGATTATTTCTTCTGTTGTTCCTCTTTTGAGGAATTCTGCCGAGATTTTGCTGCAGAGGATTCCAAGGAGTCATGAGCAGAATCTTAAAGTAACTCGTGATAATCTCATGAGGATTGAGGGCGTTTGTGGTGTTCAGAATTTGCATGTGTGGAGCTTCAGTAACATAGAGATTGTAGGAACTGTGCATCTTCACGTGTCTTCTGAAGCTGATAGGGTTTTGATTAAGAAAAGAGCTTCTGAATTATTTCATGAAGCTGGTATAAAAGATATTACCATTCAGTTGGAATGCGTGAGCTGATAGTTATAGGGAATAAGGATTTTTCTCTGCAAAGCTATAATTATACCGGAGAAAATTTTGTACTAATTTGATGAGGAACGAGCAATGTATGCCAGAATGAACCATTTAATCTTGTCCTTGATTTGCATCTAATATGGTTCATGGCCAGTTTACTTTAGAGACAAATCTCTGCAGAAAAGAATTTTTTTGTGAAGCTTTGCGACCATACAGCTTTTGGCTTGCGTTTGTTCAGTTTCAATCCTGAATTTTTAGCAAATATAAATTTCTTCTGTTGATTGGAGACAAAGTAGCTTATCAGTATCATTGAATTACACCATTTTCTAGGGCTCAATGTACTTCTCCATTTCAGTGTTGAAATCGATCAATTTCATCAAGTATTTTGGGAGATCTAACAGTTATAATCCTTATGAGTTGATGGTTTGAGTGAGTTTTCGTATGTTAATTAGTCATGCAATTCAAATTGGAGTTCTCCAAATTA